AGATATCTCATCTATTTCTTACCTTGTCACTGAATGTTATTCATTCTCGTTGTTCATTAAAATTAAATTATTTAATGTATTCTGGATTAAATTGAATTCTGAAATTAAATTGAAATAGTTAAAACTAAATAGGGAAAGGAAAAGTTATGTTAATATGTAGATATATGTATATATATTTTTCTATTCAAAATTCTTTATATGGAAAGGTGTATGTATGTAATTATGATTTTTTCACTTTATTTAACATCGCACATTCAGTTTATTTGAATTACAAGAGTAATGCATTCAGTCGGCAGGGAAAATACAATCCTATATAACTATATATGTTACACAATATAGAAGTTTGGCACTCGGATCGGTTCATTTTAGGGATGTAAAAAAGCCTAACTGTTCGTTTCGAGCATATTCATTAATCAACACATATATTTCTGTTAAAAATGTGTTCTCTTTTCGCCATACGAGAACTGGAACTGTCATATTAATGCATATGCTTCGAATTCGTGTCGAAACAGTTTGTCTTCTATTTTTAGGAGTGTATATATTTTATATGTTCATGTATAATAATAATAATTATCGTTATTATTATCATTATCACTATATTAACATCAACGTTAGAGCATTTTCTTAATTATATATTTCCTAGGGATTTTATAGAAATCATGATTAAGGTCACTGTGAATTTGCGCAGCTCTAAAAGACAAATGTTTAAATATTATTCGTCGAAAAATTGACGAGCGCGCGAATCAACAAGTCGATATCGATTGATCGAGCGATTTATTAATTTACTATTAATACTGAAAAGAGTGTATGAATTCATTGTTGTGCGTTCCATACGCCGATCAATTAATACGGTTTAATAAAATTTGTCGTTGTATTGAAGAATTGATTCACGGATAAATTTTTTTCCACGGCGTCATCACGGCTGCTAATTAATTCACGATTAATTTTCTATCGTCACGTAGTATTGACGTAAGAGGATTCATATTCGGTCTATAAGATCTAATAAACTCAACCTTCACGACGTCGACGAGATTAATTTTACATGGAAAAGGACATCGTTATTTTTAGAGGAGTAGAAAAATCGTTAAAATGGGCAATGACAGCGTATAGAGTTTATATTTCGTTTTGATATTTGAAAATTTGGAAATTATAACGGGTCTTTTTGTATACGTTTCAATACGTACATTTCTCGTATATGTAGAATTTTTTTCTCCAATAAGATCGTGTGGAAAGGAATAGAGGCGATCTCAAGTAATAAAATGAGAATTTAGAAATCGACGTTATACGACGCGAATCAGTAGAAATACGCGAAAATCTCGTGTAAAAAGATATGTGCGAAAACTCGAAATATTTTTAGTTGTACTGCTTGATCCTTTGAACGCGCATATGTAGTAGTTTTTTTTATTTTTTGTTTTTAGAAAAGTCGCAAATAACTTTTATATATTTCTCATATGTATATAAATCTGAAATACGCATTTTGTAGTTTTTTTTTTTTTTTTTTACAAAATTTTACGTGTTATTATATATAAGAT